GAATTTGAAGTAAAGTAGGTCAATTCAGGACTCATAAAATTCTTTACTTCTACCTTTTATTCATCCAAAAGCTATAAATAGAAGCAGCTCGCAAATTCTAAAAATTTCATCATCCAGAAACAAAAGATATCCAACTCCAGCACTTTTTACCCTAAACCTCATGTTAGTTCTAATTCCTTTAACATCAATCTGGTCAAACCCTCAAAAATCACCATGTGAGTGATCCAAAAAAAGGTTCATTTATAGACAAAAAGTTTAAAACCAGATTTAATTCAATCTCTTACGTCAATGAAATACAAAGTAGCAAAGTTGATTATGAAGTACATTAGAATATCCTGTTCAACCATTTCCTCTCCATTGAAATTCAATAAATAAAGAGCTCCTTTTATTTCTCATATCTTCCTCAATCAGCATAAACGTAAATGTGTTCGTCACTTGAGGGCGAGAAACAATTCAGTCGAATGATTTTTTTTTTTATTCACAAAAGAGCCATTTTTATCGTCATGAAAGCATCAAAAACAGTTTTACAGCTCTTCATCTTGACATCATCTTTCATTTATTCGTTTCTGTCTGTCGTTCTCGATTCGCTCTTTCCTGTAAAACTTTCCATATTTTATGTATTTTTTTCTTATCAAGAAAGATTCTTTTTTGCTCGATGCAATAAAAATAAGAAGCAGAATCATTATTCACATTATAATGCCCTTAAAAGATATATTTTAAATGTCATTTACCAACATTTACATTTGAATTCGTTCAATGTTTTAATTCGTTTTGACGGTTGAATTGTATCAAAGGTGCGGAACTGATAAATCACATTTTGATCATTTTTGATCATTTCATCAGTTCCGCATCCTTGAATTGGATAGAATGGAGAGGTTAAATAAAAGCTTTGTTGTTATCTGACTGTATATCTGATCCAGAACCAAATTTATTTTATTATAGCTAAGGTAATATATAGGATAAGACACTAGAATGCTAAGATACAGATTAGAATTAAGATACTTAGATCTTTCGATACTTTTATCAATTACTATTTAATCATACAATCAAAATAATATTTTATGCACGTATCTACTCATAAATTTGAGTATACTTACTCTTTAAAGATTTAATGACATAATATGAAAAAATAAACCTTCTGAAAAGTTTTTTAAAGTCTTCAAACACACATGATTGCTAATAACAAGAAAATTTCCTTTCATTTTTAACAATTCAGACTGTATAATATGAATAAATGTGAAGATTTATACAAGATGGAAGGTTTATTTATTTTTCTTCCATTGTTTCCATTCACCGTAAGTTGATAGCTGAACAAAAAACAAAGGAAAAAGTTACTTTTTATTATCCTTATATGAGTTTCCCATTTATATAGATTTTTCAATGAATATAAATGGCAATAGATTGAACTAAGGAAAATGCCAGCACTCGGCACTTTTTCCTCAATCTATTTTGACTTCATTCGATGCTGAAATGCGATAGAAAAAGGAAAGAAAAATGTTTGTTTTCATACAAAGTGAAAAATGAATTGAATGCGAAGCTTTGATTAAATTGAACTTTATTTTTCGATCGTTTTCTTTGTTATTAATATTGCTTAAGTAGACATTGGATTTCTTTTGAATAAAACTTGTCTCCTTTTGTCATTATTTATCGAGGTAAATCAGAAAGAAGAGTTTTTTTTATAATAATTGAAAGTTGAAAAATTTTTTCCAGTCAATAAATTCTTTATTTTCATATTTCTTTCAAACTTTTCACTTCAGGTAGGCTTTTTCAATAAATTATTCAGAAACCATACTCGATTTTACATTTAAATTGGTTTTTCAATCAGCAACATTGAAACTGCTTTAAACAAGGGCAATTCTCCAGATGAGTTGAGTTTTTGAAAAGAGCTTTTATAATCCAAAGTCATTTACTGTTTACTTTCAATTTTTTTTTTTGTAAATATCTTGTCAATTTCTTTGTTTTGATTGATTAAAGCAACTTTAAACTGTTTATTACGATTGATTCTTACTGAATCAACAATAATTCTCCCATGAAGTGTTAAATTAAGACTAAAATTTAATTTTTATGAAATATTTGTTTTGCATTTTTTTCATGGATTTGCAAAATAAAAGCTTAATTTTTTTACTGTCAGCAAAAAAATCCACCGAAGAATCAAAAATTCACTTTAAATAGTAATTATTGGAGTGTGATGTGATTATCGTTAGATAGATTAGCTCAAAAACTACATTTCTGCATAATCATAATAAAAAATGAGTGTTTACTTTTCTCCGAACAATAAATATCGTTTTATTAGTTTTATTAGAATAAAACCGTTTGGTATATATTAATCAAACTACAATTACAAAAGTGACGACGAGAATTACAAAAGTGTATGCTTACTTCAATTTTAAGGCAACAACCGAAATTAAAACACATTTTACTTAAAGCTCTCGTTGAGTTCAAGCAACTCTCCTGTGTCAAGTTTAATAATCCTTTTATAATTTACAACAAACAATCAAATGCATGCCTTTATCATTGACATTTTCTGGGAATTTTCATCCCACGTTAAGTTCGTCCTACATTGTTTAAGAATTATGAGCCTTGTTGTTTCATTTATCTCAACAAATTCAAAAACGAATTATACAACCAATCCTGAATATCTTAATCATAAATCATCTGTCTTAAGGACAGCTTGGTGCTAGCTTGAAAAAGAATCGATCTGTGAATCTGTCCATAAGCTGCCACGACGAATGTTCCATTCCTGAATATTTTTTTAAGATATTCAATGCTACATTAATCCAGTTTTGATTAGAAAGAATTAATATTCATATACATAGACAATTTAGGAGTTAAACCAAACAACTTATCCATTAAATTTCATCATTACCCTTCACAAGGACACACAAAATTTAATTATTGTCCTTGAAAGAGAATGACTTTGCTGGACTTTGCAAGTTTACCTAATGATTAATAAATATTTTTTGTGTAACTTAAGGTTCTCTTTTCTTAAAATAGAAGAATGAAGAAGATTGTAGACATTAAGGTGTTGTTGCTAAAGAAGTTTGAAGGACAATCAAATTGAAAAGGTTGAAAATGGACACAAAACTTCAATTTGATCCTTTCGAGAATTTTCGGAAGAAATTTGATTTGTGTTGTTTGGCAATTTTTATATCTAGAATAACAAGAAATGCTTAATGCTTTAAAATATTAGAAATATTTCTATAAACAATCCAAATTGCATTATTGCAAATAAATTGAAGCGAAAACTGATGTAAGAATTAATAATTGACGCGAAATCAAAAATTGACATAACAAAGCAAAATGATGCGAACTTTGAAATTATAAATTACCGTTACATTTCTTTGTTACTAATTTTTATGGATTCATACATTTTTCACTCTCGAATTTCACTCTCTCTGAAACTCGAATTTTCATCAACTTTTTTTTGTCAGAAAATTTTCGCGGCAAAACTTTGAAATTTTTATATACGTTATAATTCTTTTCATTCTATTGTTTTCACAATTTAAAATGCACGTGTAAAGATTGAAAACTACTTAATTATATTGTATTTAAGTGGTTTTAGTTTTATAAGGCTGTAAAAATGTTTTTTTGATTGATTCAAATTTTATCTTCCAATTTTTGTCAAGTTTGTTTACAATTTATGACAAAAATTTTCAATAGAAAATTTTTCATCTATTTGAAGCATAATTTAAGCTATGACGGTTGCAAATCGATTATTATCACTCAATAATTACAGCAGCATGCTTAAACAGAACCAAAATTGTCTTTAAATATGAAATTTTGTGAATTTATGAAAAAATTCATTTTCGAACTTTTCGAAACATTTTCGAAAAGAATGCGAAAAAAATTCAAAATATTTATAGTTTAACTGACAGCGTGCTTTTCATAGTGCTAGGACATTTTTATTTCAATTGAACAGATTGAAGCTTTTTAAATTCAATAAAATTCAATTAATATTATGATTTTTTATTATAATTCACCAAAACCTGAATAAACAGTCATCAATACCACAATTTTGCGGACTGATGTTTTCATAATAAACGAAACATGTTAAGCTAATAAAAATAAAATCGTTTTTCTGCAGCTTTTTCATAGCTCTTATAGAGAATATACTGAGCACCATAACTAGCTTTTATTATCCATTTTCTCGTGTATTCACGTATGCTCTACATTTCATTCATCCTCATTCCTACCTATTTCATCCCTTTTTTCATGTGTGCAATTCAACTCATTTCATATTCAGCGTTTATCACAAAGCTATTTCATGAATGCTTGTATGCATAATTTTCATATTTTCACGTTGAATGCTCAACCGAAATATTTTTCTTTTTAAAAATTCTTTTCAACTTTTTGAGAGCAGTTCTATGAAAAAAAGACAGACGCTTTTTAATTAATTTTATAAAGTTTAAATTTTTTGTGAGTCTGTTCTGAGGTTAAAAGCTGAAATATGCAAAACCAAGATTGCAAAAGACTTTTGTTATGTTTATATTCAGTTAATAAATATTCATCCACCATACCTTTGTCCGTAGAATAATTTAACCTCATGTTTTGCATAAACAGCAATAAAGAAACAGTTTACGATGAGAAATAAAAAGTAAAGAAGAAAAAAAAGGCAAAGACAGAATTTTTTACATGGAAAATGATTGTTGATGAGCCATGGGGATTGTTATGGATGTGTTTGTGTGGTTTTATAACAGTAAATAAACTTTTATTCAGCTGAACGCAGCAGCTTTCAACCGACTGAGTTCATTCAATCCAACTTTTTAAGCATAATTAGCTGAATTCAGTTGATTCAGCAAGTTATATTCAGCTGAATTCAGTCAATCTAGCAACTTATGTTTGGCTGACCACAAGCAATTCAGCAATTTAAGTCAACTGAATTCAGTCAATTCAGCAACTCTTATTGATCTGAATTCAGCAAATCCAGCAACTTATATTCAGCTGAATTCAATCAATTCAGCAACTTATATTCTGCTAAATTCAGTCTATTCAGCAACTTATATTCAACACGAATCCACAAATCATTTTCAACTCTGCTCTACATAAAACATTTGAATTTCAAGACAGATAAAACAACAAAAATATTCACAGGAATTTGTTGTTGATGCAGGCAATTTCATGTAAAAGAAACAATTCGTTTTTCGTCTCACATCCTTTTGTTGTTATCTTTTTTACAATATATATTTTTTATTTCTTTCCCAGAACTTCCACAGAGATAGACATCAAATGTGGTCAACAATCATGAATTATTCATGCACAATCTGGAAAGTGCTTGTTTTGGTTTTCTTATGTTTACTTCTCATCAGCAATACAATAGAATGTCAACGACCGAGCTCTGGTGGACGAATGGATGTATATATTGCAGGATTCTTCCCATATGGTGATCGTGTCGAGAATGCCGACATAGGACGTGGTGTTATGCCAAGTGTCAAATTAGCTCTTGATCATGTCAATGAACATTCTACAATTTTAAGGAATTATCGTCTTCATATGTGGTGGAATGACACTGAATGTAATGCTGCCGTAGGTGTGAAATCATTTTTTGATATGATGCACAGCGGTCCACATAAATTGATGCTCTTTGGTGCTGCCTGTACACATGTTACTGATCCAATTGCAAAAGCTTCGAAGCACTGGCACTTGACACAATTATCATATGCTGACATGCATCCAATGTTCACAAAAGATGGCTTCCCAAATTTCTTTCGAGTAGTTCCGAGTGAAACGGCATTTAATGCTCCACGACTTGCATTGTTGAAGGAATTCAATTGGACTCGAGTCGGTACTGTTTATCAAAATGAGCCAAGATATGCTCTGTCTCACAATCTCTTGGTTGCTGACTTTGACTCAATTGGAATTGATGTTGTTGAAACGCAAAGTTTTGCCACGGATGTTAAGGAAGCTTTACAGAAATTGCTGGAAAAGGATGTTCGAATTATTTTGGCAAACTTTAATGAGTTTTGGGCACGAAGGGTGTTTTGTGAAGCGTTTAGGTGAGTTTTTGGGATATTTATGATTGAAATTATTTGTGGAAATTAAAGTTTGATTAGGATGGAAGCAGGATTATAATCAGGGATGGTTTTGGGGAACCATTTGGATTTTATGAGTGCTACAATATTATTATGTTGTTTTCTGCTTGAGCTACATTGCTGGATCGAAGTCAGTGCTCTACAGGCTGATTTGCTGGATTCCTAAACGCCATTTACAAGTGACCAAAAACCCTGAATCCCAATAATCTGCTTCTGAAAATTAAACATTAAGTATTAAGAAGTAAAATATTACTTCCATTAAGAAGAAAAAAGTTTAATCCATTTATGCTCAATATTTAATTAGCTATATCACTCAAGTCTGTAACCTTTTTCTTATAACATCCTTCTTCTTCATGTTTCCACAAATTCTTGTAAAAGAAAACAACACAATAAGTGAGGGAAGCAACAATAAAGTTCCTTCTTCTTGTGAATTCTCGAGAAAAACCAGAAAAATAATTTTTTTGTTCCTTGTTCTTTTTTTTCGAATTACGGTTAAAAAAGGCTTGAAATGTACGGTCGAGCATATCAATGGCTCATCATGGGACCTTCACGAAAGGATTGGTGGAAAGTTAATGACACTGATTGTACGCTGGATGAGTTGAAGCAGGCACTTGAATCAACAATAGCAACAGATTTATTACCACTGTCGTAAGTATCGTCTGAATTATTTTATACGCTTTATTTTAAAGTTTACTCTTAAATTGTCTTAAATATGAAATTTTATATGTTTATGAATTATGGAAGGGATAAAGTGAGCAAATGGAAAAATCCTGTTTGTGTTTATGAGATGAAAATTTATTAATGCAAATCCTTTGTGAATATAAACGAGCATAAAAGTTTCTTGTAAACACATTCAAGAACTTTTAAAATTGTATTTATGGCATTGCTGTTTAAAAGTGATATTGCTGGTAGTTTTGAAAACATTTTTTCTAAAAATACTATAAATTAACGACATTTTGGAATTTGAAATCGATTTTATTTGAACTGTTAAGATCCATAGTCTTTTATGTGATATTAATGTTTATGAACATCTCTTTTTGGACCAAGTTTCTGATGAATTACTTTAAATGCTGGACTTGAATCAACATAATAAGTTTTTTTAATGAAATGATAATCGAGAATAGCTTAGGGCCGTTCACTTATTAGGGAGAGTTTGAAAAATTGTAACAAAATGTAACAAGGGGGGGGGGGGGTGTCAAGAAGTATGTAACGTTCTAATTGTCGTCTGTCTTTTAAAATTTGTTTACAAATTCACACCAAAAATTTTTTTTTGAATTTTTCACCTTTTTAATGATTTATGAATGTCCAGATCACTTTTGATAGCTAAGCAATACATAGTTTTTGTTATGTAAAGTAACCAGTGTTGCAAATGTAGATGTCTACACTAGATGAAGAATGTAGATTCTTCAATAGTTTTTGTCTGAGACAGAAATTTCTTCATAAAGATCGATTCTATATGAAGATAGAAAATCTAATCTAAACAAAAATTATTTCTACATATAGATTCTGTCTACATAAAGATTCGATGTAGATGTCTACAATTCTACATTTTTTTCAGGTCTACATCAGAGAAGAATGTAGAATTGTAGACATCTACATCGAATCTTTATGTAGACAGATTCTTTATGTAGAAATAATCTTTGTGTAGATTAGATTTTCTATCTTCATATAGAATCGATCTTTATGAAGAAATTTCTGTCTCAGAATTTATCTGATCTAGACAAATGGCCAGAATGCAACACTGAAAGTAACAAATCAATAGAAAACTGGTTTACAAGACTTTAAAATACAATCATAATTTGTGGAAATTTTCAAAATTAAATCAATCATAAGTTTAAAAGTAAATCTCTATAAATCTGTCATTCATATGATGATTAATATGATCCCATCATTGTGATATTTACAATCAAAGTTGATTGAATTTTCCAAAATTCGATCGGGCATAATATTTTTCATGACATTTTTAAATTTTCTTAAAAAAAAAAACAAATTTTTGCTTTATATCACAATCCAATAATTCTTGAGAATACTAATAGTATCAATCAAAACATGACCTATTTAGCTGTACAGTATTTTGATGTTTAAGAAAAAAAATACAAAAAAACTTTAACCGTCTTTTTAGAATAAAAAATTATCAAAATAAAATAAATTATGAACGTTCAGGGGGGGGGGGGTGTTGTAACATATTGTAACAAGGAGGAGGGGGGGGGTTATAACAATTTTCTTAATCATTTTCGATTACGTAATTTTTATGTAGAACATTTCATCAAAAGAAAAGAAAAATTTTAGTTTTCAAACTATTTACCTTAATTTATTCAAAACATCAACATTTACAGCTTATAACAGACATAGTTTTGCATAAAGCAAGCATTAAACAACTTCATAACTTAATAAAACTACAGTACAAAGTATAAATGCACAAAATAAAAATTTACAAGCAAGTGAAAGAACAATTTCATTACCAGATGAAAAATTTAATTTAATATAAAATATTTTAAAGCTTCCACAAAGTCATTGAAGAAAGAAAAGCTTATTTTATAAGTAATAAAAAACTACTGGTTCCATTTATGTATGGGATACTCCTTTGAGATAGAATGAACGAGAAGGAAAAACATCAACAGTATAAAGTCGTGTCGTAATTTTAGAGAATTTTCCTTTTGCTCTCAGCATCTGCAGCAGTCAACTAAACTATGAGTTGAATGTAACTGGGTTAAAGCATTTTTATATTATAAATTAATGAGTGTACTTTATATTGTCTTTTTTCTATAGCACGTCTGGAGATATAACTGTGTCGGGAACGGTGAGTGAACATTGTCAATGTGAAATAATACGAACCATTAACTTACACAAAGCATTTTCCTCTCTATCTCTTGTGTCTCTTTATTCTTACCTTCTTGCATGCTGTACACAATTTATAACAATCAACTCTTCACTTATGTAACCCGACAGACAGCAGATGAGTACTTAAAGGAGTATAATAGGCGTCGTGGAAATGAATACTCACGTTTTCACGGATATACCTATGACGGTATATGGGCCGTTGCTCTCGCCATTCAATACGTTTCACAAAAGAATCACGAATTTTTGGAGAAATTTCAGTATCGCACAAAAGAGTGGGAGACATTGTTCCTTGAAGCACTATCAAATACTAGCTTTGAAGGCGTCACAGGTCCTGTTCGTTTCTATAACAATGAGAGGAAGGCAAGCTTTCAACTGAATCAATTCCAAAATGGTGAAGAAGCCAAAATTGGCGAATACAGTTCATTGCAATCACATTTGGATTTAACAAGAGGAAAATCAGTGAAATGGGTAAGTGAAAAAGTATTTCAAGGACACTCCGTTCGTATTGATTTCTGAATTGTTATTTGATTGAAAAGTAATTGCTGTATATTAATTTTTGAATAACTAGTTCGGACGTTCACCACCAAAGGATAGAACAATGAGAATTATTGAGCATGCTCAAGTAAACTTGACTGTTTATATAATATTAGCAAGTTGCTCCGTGTTAGGAATCGTACTCGCAATTAGTTTTCTTATTGTGAACATAAAATTCCGTAATCAACGCTACATCAAAATGTCGAGTCCTCATTTAAATAACTTGATTATTATTGGCTGCATTTTAACCTACATGAGTGTAATATTTTTGGGCTTAGACAGCGGTTTGAGTAGCATTACAGCATTCCCGTATATTTGCACATCACGTGCCTGGTTATTAATGGCTGGCTTCTCACTTGCATTTGGTGCAATGTTCTCGAAAACATGGCGTGTACATTCAATTTTCACGGATCTCAAATTGAACAAGAAAGTAATTAAGGATTATCAATTATTTATGGTTGTCGGTGTACTATTGGCAATTGATATTGCGATCATGACAACGTGGCAAGTAGCTGATCCATTTTTCCGTATGACAAAGCAAATGGAACCATATGTGAGTAGTTTAGATGCTATAAGATAAATCAAATATTATTAATCACGTATGTTCATTTATAAAATTTGTACAGGCACATCCGTCATTAGAAGATGTTATCATTGTTCGTGAGAATGAATATTGTCAGTCAGAACAAATGAACATATTTGTTGGTATCATTTATGCCTATAAAGGAATGCTTCTTATTTTCGGAGCTTTTCTTGCATGGGAGACACGAAATGTCTCTATACCAGCCCTAAATGACTCTAAGCATATTGGAATGTCAGTCTATAATTGCGTGATTATGTGTGTGATGGGTGCTGCAATAGCATTGGTCTTATCTGATCAAAAAGATGCCGTCTTTGTCCTGATTTCTATTTTCATTATATTCTGTACGACAATGACGTTAATCCTCGTTTTTGTACCAAAGGTAATGTCATTCTTATCTTTTCTTGTCTGTGGATATTATGTCAGATTCTATTACTTGTGCACCTTCAAAATATTCTGAGAAATTCTAATTCTAAATTCGATTTCCTTTTTGCTCCAAAAATCCTGAATAGATAATTGAATTGAAAAGAAATCCGAGTGGCGTAATAGATAAGCGTGGCCGTGCGACTTTACGTCCAATGTCAAAGGCAGATCGTCGTGACTCGTCAGCATGCGAATTAGAGCAGAAGCTACGAGATGTTAAATCCAATAACTGTCGTTTCCGAAAAGCTTTAATGGATCGTGAAGCGGAATTACAAGCACTGATAAGGAAATTGGGTCAAGAAGCATCAAATTGGCTTGATGGTGGAACGAGTGAGACAGAACCGATATTAAAGGATCAAGGAAGATTATCAGTTGGTCCCATTCGTAAGGATCTTCCAAGTCAGACAGGTAACGTAAAATGACATTATTTCGGTAGTTTTGAGACATAGAAAAGTAATACAATAACTGAAGTTTCATCAGTTACAGAACTCACAAGTATAGGAAGTTGCATATCAAGTCATGAGGATCTTGATAATGGACCGAGCACACCGGATGCAAAGTACGTTTTAAATATCTCTATATTCGTAATAATATCATGTACTTAAATATTATTATCTTAAACACTTTCACAGGAAGAAACGTGTCAGCATTCAGAGCATGCAACAAGACAAGAATAAAATGAGCAATTCTATATCGCAGACGAAAATGGCAGAGCCAAAGGTTGTATCAACTCAAACAATAATCTCATCGACCAACAAAACGGTAGATGTTAAACCACAGCTGGTACAAGCACAAACGCCTGACCACAAAGCATATGTAACAGAAATGCGGAAAGAGTTGTCGGAAGCATCAACTGCAACACCTACTTGGTCTCCAACTCACAATGGGCATTTCGTGGTAAGTTTTAAGTTTTAATTAAAAATATTAAGTTATATTGGGGAGCTGTGATAATAAGAGGATCCAATTTTGAAGAAATTAATTTTCATTGCTGGTTGAAAAGCTCGAGAAATTTTATTAATAATACTGTGCGCCATATTTGAGAATGGGGAGGGACAGTAATGTTTCTCCTTGAAAATTCAGCACGTTCTCGAAAAAAGCTAAGTCCATGCATAAGAAAGAATAATAGACTAATTTTTTACGTCATTTTGTTACTCCCCTTTTTGGATAACCTCAAAATTCAACAATCAACCATACTTGCATATTGAATATTCATTTCCAACCTCATTTCCTCGTCTTCCATTCAGGATTATGATCCATATCAGGCAACAAATCTAACAAAATACAACACACAAATGAATACGATGACATTATCAAATTCAGAATTGAACAACATATGTCCGCATGGAAAAGGCAGCACAAAAAGTGAGTAAACATACAGTGTCATTAACACATTTTTAAATGGAAATTATGTGTGAAATTGGTAAGTGAGATTATCAATTGAAACATAATTTCTGTGTAAACAAATTGATTGATGCAATTAGTTTCAATTTAATCTTTTTATACATAAAATAATGTATATCAATTTCATGTAACTATACATTTCTCTCTCTGTCTATGCTATAAATTAAAAAAATAGATCTTAATTCAGTTGAGCAACGACGAGTTAGTATGGGAGCGGCAATGAAAGGCAATTTTGTTGTATCACAGAGTGATTTATGGGACACTCAGACTTTATCACACGCCAAACAACACTCGCGACATTCACCACGAAATCAACAAGGCCGATGTCCAGATCATACATATGTAAATGCTCCAATACAGCAACAACAGCAAATATCACAATCTACACCTTCCTCATCACATGCCACAACGCCGCAGCATGAGCAGTACGAGAATGGATCCCCTGGTGCCATCTCTACAGGTAGCACAAGTGGCATAATGCAACGTAGTGTCTCGGAAAAGAATCGAAAGCATCGTCATAAGCAAAAGATTGCAGTATGTCAGAGTGAAACAGACAGTGAACGTGAACAGCGAACGGCACAATTGTGTGCACAGAATCGTAAGCTGATGAAATCACATCATTCACATCATCAATCGACGCCAAATGTTGCGCCAGACGGTAGTCAGACAAGTATCAAATCACATAAGCATAGATCAAAGAGTCGCGATCATCATCATCATCATAGGTCATCATCAAATATGCACGGTGCATGTTCCGAATCGGAATTGCTTGATAGTGACACTGCAATACTGCCCATTTTTAGAAAATTATTAACAGAAAAAGAATCTAGATATAGGCCAAGTAGAAATGTAGGAGCAAGTTGTCCCAATATATCCATTAAATGTGATATTGTTGAATATTTGTAAAAAAAAAAACATTATGTAAGGATTGACTATTGCAATTTATTTGTGGTAGTTGATGATTCGAAGAGGAGATAAAATATTTAGAATCAATGAAATTATGGACTTGGAATTCTGGATTTTGGGATGGTTGGTGCGTATTTTTGGTATCGATTGAAGTTTGAAAGTCTTTTGTGTTTGAGTTGCTTCAAGTTATGAGGTCTACTTCACGGTAAATGTGTTGAAGCACATTACTGGCAGCTATGATGGAGCTTTTTGTGAGAATGTAGCATGCTAAATCTGTACTATGGATGCTTAATAACAGCCCAACACGTTTAGTGGTGTCAGAACAATCAAACCTAGAGTGTCGAACAATGTGTAAGCGAATCTGCCAGTTCAAGAGTAAGGCATCTGTTGGATTACTGATTAGCAACTTAAGTTCCTTTAGGAACGTGGGTTCGATTCTCGATACCAAGCCGATTTTCTCAATCATTACAAAGAGCGTTGTCGATTTGAGTAAGATTCGGACAATACGAAAGGGAAAAAAAACTATAAAAATTAGATCTAAGCGCAAAATCAAACCAATTCTACAAATTGAAAATTCAGCAAAATATCCACAACTTTCAAACTAAGGAAATGAAAAAAAAATCCCTACCAACCACTCAAATCTGATTCCCAGTCCAAATCATAACTCAATAGAGAGTGAAACTTTTCAATTTTCGAGAAAAAAAAATGTCAATCAAGGGATTTGTGTAAGTAAAACTAATCAAACAACTTTTTTATTTCAAATGAGAAAAAAACCATTTTTGTCATTAAAAATTTACGAAAACAAGTTTTTTAACATAAAAGTGAACTAGGAAATAGCCGTGAAACTTTTTTGAGTTCAAATGGAATTTTTAAAAGCAAAATGCAATAGTTTTTAAATAAAATAAAATAAATTAAGGATGTAACAAGCATTTGAGACCTCATCGAAAAGAGTTTTAGTTGTGAATTGCTTTACATAATAATCTCTAATCTATAACTTTATCTCTCTCTTTGCTCAACGTAGTGGACTAAGACTTATCAAAAGAGACGAAAAAAAATGAAATTTTATGAACGCTTAAGGAATTTTTAAGGCAAAGAATTAAGAAAATTCTAATTGAATTGACGGATAAGAAGTTAAATTATTTAGTAGCTAATAAAAAAATTAATTAATCGTGAAAAAGACGAGCAATAAATTGTGTGCAAAAAAAGATCCCGAGGTAAGGTTGCTATTGTGTATGCCAGGAAAACCAAATATAGTAAGTAAATCTAAGTCAAAGGAGCTAGATCAGTGCTTCTCAAACTATGCTTGACGACACACTACCGTGTTGCTGTCAAAAAAAGTTTTGGAAACACTGTCCCAGAATAAACTAGATTAGTACCTGGACTATACAAAGCAACAAACCTCAGAAAGGAAGTGATTCTCAAGAGGAACACATAAAATCATCCATGAAATAGATTTTTACAATTCCAACTTGAGCATCCTTCCATTTTTATAATTCAGCTATATTTAAAAGATTAATTTACTTAATTTTATCCCAATTACTCCACAACATCCCCAATTTAGAATCAATTACCGAAACCAAGCAATTAAAGTATTTCCACGAAATTTTAATCACGATTTAAAATCAATTACCGCATTTGAATTCGGTTTGAAATCATTTTATTAATCTTATTCTTGATGATTTGTATTTTTCCTTCCTGAATTATTATTGCCTGAACTTGTACCTTATAAGTAAGATTATCATTTTCCTCCACAGCTGCATGGCATTATTATTTATTTACCGCAGCAATTATTTATGAGAAATGTCTTCCTATTAATCCTCCATGCGATGATGAACTGGTGAGAATAGTCACATTTTAAAGGGTGGTATATAGATGTGGGTATGGCCATAAATACCTACTATAACCATGTTGAATGAAATAAATAGAAAGTCTAGACACAACATGGCTAAAGGTTTTCTGGTAAACTTCTATTTCAACCCTAAAACTAGACCTAACCTAGACATTCTACTATTATAACGATCTCAAAAATCACCTCTTACCTTAAACCACCTCCTACCCTATCCTTACTCCTACCCTATCCTTACTCCTACCCTATCCTTACTCCTACCCTATCCTTACTCCTACCCTATCCTTACTCCTACCCTATCTTTACTCTTACCCTATATCTCCTCTTAAGTATCCCCTAGCATATATACTAGGTTTGTGTATATTTATAAAGCTAGTGTAAGGTGGAGAGGCAAGGAAAGATGAAGAATTATACCGAGAAACTCACCCTGCATACGAAAAAAAAAAAAAAAAAAAAAAAAAAAAAAAAAAAAAAAAAAAAAAAAAAAAAAAAAAAAACCTTTACCTATTCAGATCAATTGTGATCCAGAGGTGCGCTAGGGCGATTCGCAGCTAATGAGAGTTTTAACGAGTGAGGATGCGCCAAACCACTGCACTCAAACCTAGACCTACAATTTATAGTGGGATCCGAACCACTCCTTTGATGACATTTCTGTCTGTAGCCTACAAAGGAAGGCTGTGAGCCTCATTTCCAGTACATATGATTCGAAAAAGAACAAGTGAAAAATTTCCCATACCCAGTCTCGAACCCATGATCGCTGTGTCGGTATTGCAATAATTAGGTACCGAAGTACTAAACCATTCCGCCACCGAGCCACTTCAGCTCACCGCCCTGCATACGAACTTAGGGAATAATCCTAAAATACAATTTTTATGATTAAGTAAATTTTAAAAAAATCTAAACACAATGCCCAAAAAAGTGCGTCAAAAGCTCCTTTACATCCACAATTAGTTCCTTTCATTTTTTTCACGCTTGTTTTCTTCTTTTGTTCCACTTTATCATCCACAATAATTTTTATAAGCTCACCATGAGTTGAACATTCAAAGTGGATGCGTCAATTATCAACAAATTTTTATTCTCTCAAATTACTCTCTTTTTATCACTTACCACCCCTCATCTCCTCTCATTTTTCTCACATTTCTCTCAGTTTTTTCACATTTAACAAAAAACATTGTATAAAATACAAATTATGTTTGCACAAGTCGTGAAAATACTACAAATAAGGAATTCACATGAGAAAAAAAATTGGAGTAAAAAAAAAATGTTAAGAATTTAAAATAAGAAGGAAAGCAGATAAGATGAAAAAAATTGATGTTTTAGAAATTAATTTATGTGTTCAAGTCAGAATAACATTTGTAAATAGTACAGTGGAATAGCTATCTGATGATAAAGGAAATAAAAATATAGAAAATTGAAGCAAAAACTGAAAAATAAGAAACATGATGTCTGAAAATGAGGAAATTGAAAAATAATAAAAAATTATTAAAAACAAATTGAATCTTTTTGTGCTTTTTGTTGTTTACAGTATTTTTAGGTACAAAGGATGAGGAACATATTATTGTAAGTAAATTCGATTCCGAAATTAAAAAGTTTAAGATTCGAAGTTAAAAAATTCACTTTCAAAAAGAAAATTTAACATTCGAAATTAAAAAATGCAAATTCAAAATTGACAATTCACAATCGAATTTAAAATTTAACATTCAAAATTAAAAAATACATTTTAAAAATTAAAAATTTCACATTTAAAATTGAAAATTCACTTACGAAATGAAAATTTTATATTCGAAATTGAAATATTCACTTTCGAATTTAAAAATTCACATTCGAAATCAGAAATTCACATTCGAAGATTAAAACTCACTTTCGAAATTAGAAATTTACATTCGAAACTTTAAAATTTCACTTTCGAAATTAAAAATTTCACTTTCGAAATTAAAAATTTCACTTTCGAAATTAAAATTTTCAGATTCGAAAGTAAAAATTCACATTCGAAAATAAAAAATTTTCTTTTGAATTTAAAATTTAGCATTCAAAATTGAAAATTTAAATTTCGAAATTAAAAATTAACTTTCGAGTGTCAAAACTTAATTTTTAAAATCTGTCAATCAGTGTTAAAAACCAACCATCAACTCCACAAAGTCTACACAATCCACCTTAAATACTTAATACTCATTATTTCTCCAGCACAACCTTCACAATCATCATCAACCCTAATCAAACTATCCATGCCTTTCCACACCTTTCTTACTCACACTCCTACTCACAATTTCCATGCGATTCCACTCAATTTCATTCATCAATTTAGAAAATAACCTTGAAGATTGATTAAGGTAAAGGCCACATGTAGGAACAGCTGTAGTTCTCATCACGATAAGTGTTTTTTATATCATCAAAATCATTCTCAATTGTCACTTAAAATAAGGAAAAAATAAATTGAATTGAATTGCACATAATGATGAAGTTTAATGTCTCATCGTTTATTATTCTATTTGCTGATCTGTAGTATGTTTTTGAAGATTCGCGAAATATGTAATGTGTGAAATTTTGTGGGAAGATAATTTTTGTAAGTGAGTTTAGTGGAAATGTGGAGTTTGTTGCAAGGATTTAGAGTGGTTTGACAAAATTGAGTTGAAATTGGATTAAGTTTTACACAATAAAATAGATTAGATCCTGAAATTTTGAAGTATTGCCAATTTTTAATAATTCCTTCTTTATAAAGTTCAGGTTTGCAGCTTTAAATAATTCAAATAAAATCTGTAAGTTTGTTCATTGTTTTGCTGTCATTGCAAAGCTCGAAAATTGATGATTTCATCTATAAAAAAATAATCTGTTAAGATATTTTTTAAAAAATCAAATTAATTTGAAAATATAAAAGCCGTGTAAAAATTTGAATTTTAAAAATCGTTAAAAATTTGAACATTTTAAAGTCGCAAAAAATTTGAAAATTTAAAAGCCATTAAAACTTAAAAAATTTGAATTCTGAAAAATCATTTAAAATTTGAATCCTTTTTAAAAATTTTTAAACATTTGAATTTTGAAAATCCGTTAAAAATTTGAATCTAAACAGTCTATAGTATTTTAGATTTTAAAACGTCGTTACTAGTTTGAATTTTAAAATCTCGTTAAATATAAGTAAACTAGCTTTGTTCTTGAAAGCATTGATAGCTACCATAAAAATTGACCTTAGTCCCTAGTTCAGTACAGTAAACAGTCAAAATGAAGACTCTCGTCAAACTTTCATTAAAAGCTCCAAAAATCCTTAAAAATTCTGCAAGCCTAACCTCAATAACTCAACAATAATCCTCATTCAGCATCATAACGGCCAATAAAGCAACATTTTAAAAAAATAAAATCTCTTTAACGTACTAGATTCTTGCGAAACAATCATGCGCTAAAAAAGGAAATTCTTCTCCCCTATATTTTTTTTCTGTGTATTATATTGAAAGTTTCATTTCATACTCATTCAGCCGCTCCCCAAGAAAAATCCACATCGCATAGTGAAATTTGTGGAAGAAAAACAATTTTTATATGAAATTCCTTGTGTGTTAAAAAAGTGGAACTGAATGTGAAAAAAAAAGTTATATAAATTTCTAGCCAAATTAAAAAGACTCAAACTTGTTAAATTTTAATATTAATCATAAGTGGTTGTAGTCAGTTTTTAAGTATAACGTAAGAAAATTGTGAAAATTTAGTGAAAATCACAAAGAATTTTCATTTTCCTGAGAAAAAAAAAAAGATTTTTTTATGTGACACAAAAAAAAGTGAAAAATTTGTCGAAATTCTCGACTTTTGTGAGATGAAAATTGTTTAAAAAGGATCTAAATAATCGATAATAAGTAAATTACATCCAAAAACATCCACAAGCTAGCTTCATATTGACGGATGGAAAAGTCATTTTATGGGTGGTGACAAGAATGTTTTGCGAGAGAAGGAAAAAAAAAATCTTGTTTTATGGCTCATCAGGAGAATAATTTCATCTAATTAATTTTTTTGGATGAATTTGTTCATAAAATTTGCAAATTTTAATCAGTTTTGGGTGCCTCGAGTGAAAGTTTTTGTGATTTTACGGCTTTGTTCATTAAAATTCTGCAGAAATAAGTTTTTTTTTGTTGTAGTTCAATCAAATTTTGGGTCCAAAATGTCTACAAACTTAAGTAACAAGCTACTCAAGTGCTGTAAAAGTGACTCAATGACTGCAAATCTCTCAAATGCACTTTTGGTTTCGAAAATGTTTCTTAACAACACTCTTGAATGATGCATTTGAGGATTGCAGATGTACTTCAAATAATTCTCACAAGATGCTCATAGTTTGCATGGATGTCTTCAGCTAAAGCTCACAGTTCATCGAATTTTTTTGTCAAATCTAGTTGACTCAACTTCAAAATCTGTTTATTGCTATAGAAACTTCAAATCGTGTACTTAAATGGCTGCAGAACAATGTTTCACACTCTATGTGCTGTGGAACCCATTATGCCAATCAAAAGTGATGGTTGCTATTTAGTGGTTGCTAATATTAGGTACAAATTGCTCAAATAACCTTTGTTCATGGAATTTTTGCAATATATTGAGGAGGATGTTGAGGAGGTTTGAAATTAAATCAATTTATTCGATAGAGTTGAAAGTTTTGCATTGAACTTAGCTATAGAAAATTTCTATCTGCATTGAATTCTTATTGGGTAATGAAAAATTATGTGATATATCCTGCATTGTATGAATATCTGAATAACAGTCGTCTTTGAAGGTGATTTAACATATGATCTGTATTGTACTCAAGCAGCTTATAAGCAGCAATGGAGTAAAATCTATCATGTGAGCATCTTACACCAATAGTTCTGGAATCTATCCAAGGAATTAACTAGCCTTATTTAAAACATATTGTGGCTATGGATAAGAAATTGTTGTCTCTAGGTTGACCAGAGAAATTGGAGACTGAGTCTGACATCACATTGAGACTTTTACTAAGCTTTAGATCAGCGTTTCTTAAACTTTACAAGCTAAAGAATACTTATTGGATCTTTCTTCATTCTGTGGCACAGTTGCTACTATCTTTGACACACTTAGGTTTTCTTGCAAAAGAGTAGTGCTCAATGTAGCAAAGTTTGAGAACTAAAGCTCTAGATCAGTGTTGGGAAACCTTTTTAGTGCCATGGGATACTTTGATGGTAAGCCATGACTTAAACGGCACAAATCACATGGTTTGTGAGCTTTTCTGATTTTTAAGGGTGTTGTACCGCGGCACATGGGTTAGCTATCACTGCTCTAGATTGAGCTTTGATATGTATTTTTATAGCATTATCTGGTTTTGCTATTCTTAAGTTCCAACACATTAGTACAGACTCATACAGTCATTTTAAGAAACAATTTGTATAAAAGTCAATTGAAACCCTGGATTGAAATGTATATAACTCCGGGATCAAACCCGGGATTAAAAACCCCTAAATCAAACAATAATCACTGATTTTCAATTCCTCAACATCAAATCCTTTTTAAATCGAATTCAATTGAAACTAAG